CTTTCAGGTCAACATCACCCTTTTTTTTTTTTTTTCGCTTTTCTGTTTTTTTTTTCTGAGAGAGGATGGCACGTTATCCCTATATGCTTATCCTCCTCTCTCAGAAGATATCATGCTAAGCGCGAGATCCGACTAGTGAAGAAGATTGGACTGAGCCCCTGAATCCAGATGCGTTTTATGTAGAGATACAGAAAAGCAGAGCAATCGCAAGGATCTGCACGTCGTCACAAACACGTCCAGATTCAGGTTTCCAATCCAATCTCTTTGCTAGGGGGATCTCGCCCTAATTACATACAGTAATATTTTCTTTGTATCGCTTTCCAATCCCCCTGTTTAACGGATGTCCCGGTGAACGGCTGGGCTCTTTTTTTATATAAATCTACGTGGCTGACCTTGTTTTTTATTAATATCCACGTGGCTGGCCTTGTACGTAAGAGGTGATGAACAGGCGGACCTTTCCTTCCTTTCGTCACTCCTTTTTTTGTTTTGTCTTTTTCCACCTTTGCGCTCCGATCCACAGTGTGACAATAAATACGATTTATCGTCACAAAGATATCAGGTCGCAAAAGCGAGAAAAAAAACAAGAACAAAATCAATTCATATTTTATCTTCTTGCTGACATTTATCTCGATTCTGTCTTTCCCGCGTTTTATGTTCCCGCGTATTATGTTCCTGCGTTTTTTATTTTATGTTTTAACCACGCGCGAAGTTTCGAACTCGTTCAGAGCGCGGGAGAGAGTTGTGTATCGTTCCCGCCAAAAATTACGGCGTGATTGGATCCAACGACCGTGTCGGCAGTGCCGGATTTTTTTTTTTTTTTTTTTCGTTTTGTCATCTAGTTCCTCCTACCAAGATTCGATCTCAGGTGTGTATTTCAACAGCTCATCGGTGTACCACCTGAAGCTAGTATAGGCCCTTTCGATGTCGTGCTCCAGGACGTGTGATTAGGGCAGGCAGGTTATGTCTCAGATCGCGTCTTTGGTGTGCGCTCCCCAACCCCGTCTGTTAATCCGCTCTAATCTGCCTGCCCACCAACGCAAAGCCGATCTTCTTCTTCTTCTTCTTCTTCTTCTTCTTCTTCTTCTTCTTCTGCTTTCTTCTTCTTCTTCTTCTTCTTCTTCTTCTTCTTCTTCTTTTTTCTTTCGCCCCCCAGAGTCGCGCCGGCGGGTAGAGAGCATACCCTCCACACATCCATCTCCGTCGGATCTGACGTGCTTTTCCACCGTCAGATCCGCAGTGCTCTCTCAGTAAACCCGATGTGACCACTGCTGGAATAAAGGGGGGAGGGATGGGTGATGGGGGGGGTGAGGTACCGTGCTCTACCCCTCGACGCAACCCCCGCCATTTGTGTGTGCCTGGGGTTGAACAGGATCGGGTAGGTAGGTATCCACACATGCCACATCCAGCGAATGTGGACGTTTTTTTTTTCTTGTCTTTTTTCTGCGTGAGATAGGCGCTTAGTAGGCGGCCGACTTGTCGCGTCCTTCGGGACATCCGTGAAAGTTCGAACGATACAGAGAAGGGTAGATTAGCAAATGGCCCCTGCGCAAGGATGACACGCATAAATCGAGAAATGGTCCAAAAAAAGAAAAGAAAAAAAAAAAGGCGGCCGACTTGTCGTAACTGGTCTTAGGAACGCCCGGCTCTCACGCACATAGGGCCTCGTTCTTTTTTGTGGAAAGGTGCAAAACGAGAGTGAATCTTCCGCAAGAACATGGAAAGATGCACAACCATGACTTTTGTCTTTTTGTGCATTTCAAGAGTAGTGGAGCGAGGCCCATAAAGGATGTAAGTCACCACTCATCATTCTCTGTACAACCAAGAAGGATCTAGCTCGATTTTTTTTTTTTTAATTGTTCTAGCCCGTGTTTGCATTATAGACCGAAAGAGAAGAGGGGCAATCATTCAACAGCACGATCCCAAGCGTGTCCTTCCTCGCCGCACCCCCCAACCCTGCAAAACCCCTTATGCAGCAATCTGGGCTGTGTCATTCGTGGAGAGACGTTCTTTTTGCAATATTTTGGCACTCTTTATGCAATATTTTGGCACTCCCCATTGCCATAGGAAGTAAAAACTTCCATCCAAGATCTAGAAGTTGATCAATACGGATAGCCTGTATGCACGAAAGAGACGCTGTAAAGAATGGAATGGATGACAGAGATAAGAAGAAGAAGATCTGTAGCATGGCCCTTGCGCAAGAGGAGGATCACGCAGCAATCGAGAAACGACTCCCCCTCCCCCCCTCCTCCTGCGAAGTATAAGAAAGGTTATTTCCCGTACTGTCTCTGTCTGTATGTCTCCCTCTCTCTCTCTCTCTGTGCCTCTTTCTCCCTCTCTGTCTCTCCCTCCGTGCCATGTGTGTGGGAAACAAAAAAACGGTGACGACCCGAAAACAACGGAGAGGCGGGGAGAAATTGGGATCGTCGTGGTTTGGCCTCTCGGTACTGCGATGAGAATGTCCGAACAAAAAAAAAAGAAAAAAAGGGAAAAAAAAAGAAAAAAGAGAAAAAAAAAAGAAAAAAAAGGAGAAAAAAAGAAAAAAAAGAGAAAAAAAAGGAAAAAAAGAAAAAAAGAAAAAAAGAAAAAAAAAGAAAAGTCGGAAGAGGACGTGGGTGAGGAGGGGATGAGAGAAGGGTTTAAGCCATATGCTCGTTTTTTTAAAAGTGTTTTTATTTGTTTATTTAGAAGTAATTTGAGGATTATCCGGAGAGAGATTTGCGAGAGGAAAATGTGCGATACTCTTTTTTTTTCCCTTTTTTTTCGGATGTTCGCTGGGTTTATTTTTTTATTTTTTTTTGAGCTTTAGGGTTTAGGGTTTATGCGGTGCGGTATTTCTCTGCTATTTCGTGCACTTAGTCCCTGTGCAAAGGTTCGGTCCCCTCCGGCACGATATATGTTTCTTAACAAAATATTAAATGTTTGCATCTAAGCTTCCATCCGGGCCGCCCGGGTCACCTTGTTTGTCCGGGCTGCCCGGCCGTGCAAGAGCCAACGTAGGTCCCAGCAAAAGAAAAGAAAAAAAATCCAAAAAAATTGATAAAAACTGAGTTATGAAAAAAGACAAACTGAACAACTTTTGCCTCAGGGTCACATCGAAATTCTTTACCAAATAAAGAATAATTTCTTTTTTTTATAGATCTTGCCGTAGTTCTGTATCCAACTGAAGCACGAACCAAAAAAAAAAAAAAAAAAAAAAAAACAAAGAGAAAAGAAAAACACGAACGTCTAGAGCAACAAGCTCAGGTCTAGCTCTCGATACCGCTGGTCGATATCGGCGTGGTCGTCCGTGCTTTTTTCGTTTTTTGTTTTTTTTTTTGGTCGCCTGTGCTTTAGAATTGTCTGAAAAAGCATTCCCCACAAAAATTGGTGGAACCCAAAAAATAGGAAAAAAAAAGAAAAGAAAAAGTTGAGGGCCTCGTTAAAAAAAAAAAAAAAAACTGTGTTACCAACGGGGCCGCCCGGGTCACGTTCGTGGCAGGGAAAGTCCCTGTAATAAAGCCAATGGTTCGAATAAATCCCCCCCAAAACTATGTTGGTCTACCGTCTTCACCCGAATACAACGCCCGGTAATTGTAGCTGTCTCTGGACTGAAAGTTGGCCCATGTCTAGGTATAATGACCTGGTGTTGCATTCGGGTGAAGACGAGAGCTCTCGATATACCGGCGTGGTCACCTGTGCTTTCAATTTGTCTAAAAAACAATTGCCCCAAAAAAATTGCCCAAAAACAGCGTCAAAACATAATTCTCAAAAACTTGCCAGGATAACGCGAGTGCATCCTATGGCGGTAAGGCAGAACCCAAAAATGTGCAAAAAAAAACCAACAAGGAAACTAAAATATCGAGGGCCTCCGGGAAAAAAAAATAAAAAAATTGTGCAGCAACCGGGCCGCCCGGGTCACCTTGGTTGCCCGGCCGCCCCGGCCGGGCAAGGCAAGGGACAGGTAAAGTCTCTGTAAAAAAGGAACTACGGCGGTGTGCATAAAAAAAAAACTACGTGTTGCATTGAAAAAAAAAAAAAAAAAACTGAACAACAGACAAGATGATGACGGCCTTGAGATATCGTCAGTGAGCTGACCGGGCCCATGTACTTGCGAAATGCTGTTTCATTGATCTGATTCCATCATCACGTCATTGAGCTGACGCAACTTGCGTCTGTATTTCAGCAGTTCGTGGCTGTACCAATTGAGCGTGGGGTTCGTTGGTTGTACAAACTG